TCTTTATGACACACATACAAACCACACTCTGACATCCATACCAACACACCCACACAATTATAGCTGCATTATTTATCCAATTGGCTCTATAATATGCAGAAGCAGAAAACAGAAATAAAGCGAGTATTTTCTTTATAGGTCAAACCTGAAAAAATGGCACCATCTGGTAAAAAGTAGTAAAAAATTAAATTTTAAAGCCTTGCCAATATAATGAAAGCCTATCAACAAAAATTGCATAATTTTACAGTTAAATGGCACTGCGATTAAAAATAGCAGTTTCAATGGGGACATTTTTGTCCTTAAGGTCCTGAGAGGAGCAATTTTTTGTACCTAGTGCAAAACAGATTTATTAAAGGAAATGGAAGTGAAATAGTAAAATTCCAATAAAGTCTGGCGCAATATTTTTTCTTTGTTATTTAAAGAGCGCGTTAGTAATATGCGCCTATAAGCGGGTGCACAACGTGCGTACACTTTGCTTATTACACACACAGAGACGCTCAGCAGCACACAAACATTTTTAAATATGAAAAATTACATCCCGCCATGTAAATAGCGAACCCGCCATGGCGCGAGCACAACTGGCTTTTAAAGGGGATGGGAGATGAGACTCTGATTGGTTTATTGCACATTACGCACAAAAAACACCCATTACTCATTAAGAGAATAGGGTCAACCCGTTTAGACCATGCGCCGGCCGTTTTCCCGTCGTTAAACTAGCAAAAGTGGATTCGGACACGCCCTGAGTGCAATGCTGCTCTTTTGAACTTTCACAAAAGTGTTAAGCAGCACAACTTTTCAACATTGATTTAGAAAGATTTTTGAAGGATCATGTGACACTGAAACTGGAGTAATGGCTGCTGAAAATTCAGCTTTGCCATCACAGGAATAAATTACATTTTAAAATGTGTTAAAATAGAAAACAGTTGTTTTAAGTTGTAATAATATTTCACAAGGTCTGCAGTGTTCACATAAATTAATGAATTATCTTGCTTATTTATTTTACTGGTTGTTCAATGAGCAAAAATAAAGTCTGCTGCAGGCATGCACGATTAGATAAGTGATTACAGGCATCCCTTATCATCTTGAAGCTGAATTGCTTGTATCCCCTGCAGTGTTCTTTTAGCATTTTTTCCCTTTTGGTTGGAAAGGGAAAAAAAAGTATGGTTTATTTAATATGCCAAAAAAAGGCATTTTTTGTCTAAAAAATACCTAAATCTAATGGAAATTACTTTATTTTCCCAATAGAAATAAACTACAAAAACCACAATTTATTTTTCTTCAGGATGAACCAGTCAAATTAGGCTGTATCTATTGTTTACATCACATGATTAAAGGGATATTTGAGTAACCATTCAGATTAGGGAACACATATTCAGTTTACCCTCAATTAAGGTAGTTGTTAAGTTTAGGTATGGCATAGGTTTAAGGGATCTAAGATAGGGGCATGCAGAATAAGGCATTAAAGGGATAGTTCATTCAAAAATGAAAATTTCACCATGATTTACTCACCCTCAAGCCATCCTAGGTGTATATGACTTTCTTTTTTGAGACTAATGCAATCTGAGTTATATTAAAAAATGTCCTGGCTCTTTCAAGCTATAATGGCAATGAATAGTGGTTGAGATTTTGAAGCCCAAAAAAGTGCGTCC